AACTAAAGAAGACAGTATTATTATGATACTACAGATCACTGAAATAAACCTCAACTAAAGAAGACAGTATCATTATGATACTAAAGACCACTGAAACAAACCTCAACTAAATAAGACAGTTTTTTTAAGATACAGTTTGTGTTTTTAGCGCGATGCTACTTAATGGACTATCTGCTCTCTGTCCTCTGCAGGGAATCGAACCCAAGATTTTAACGTCGGAAGTCCATATACTTACTGCTGACTCCCCTCACAGGGACCTTATGAAAGTGACTACAGATATTCATAATTTATCGAAGGTAATCAATATTTAACAATTTCATCTTTCACAAAATAACATTCTATATTGAGGTGTTTGGGCTTTAGGCTTTAAATAAGAGGCAGCAAATTTATTTATTAGAATACAAGTGGAACTTGAATGAGTTCGCAGGTGCAATGGTAATTTTCTCATTCACATTGTATAAATATTTAATTTAAAATAAGCAAATATCACGAAAAATATAAATTTATTGAATAATATTGTAAGTATAATATTTCGTCATAATTTTGAGAAATATGGAATTGATCGGACAGGTCTATTTATCAAAATCTAAACATACTTATTCGTCTTCAATTGCAGTTGTTCAGTAGTCACTAATATATTGTCGAAATTATATATAAACACAACTTTCACGTGTGAGCGGTCACCAGTGATTTTTACTACATGAAACTTGCTAGGCAAACAGTAAACTATTGGGCTGTACGTGGCATAGCGATTAGCAAACCTGAACTGTGATTCCGACGATTTACGGTTCGCGGCCCGTTGCCACAACACGCGGGTCGTAGTTTTGTAAATCATGGGTGCATTGTGAGTGACAGTCAAATCCAACTGTTCGATAATAAAATAGCAGCCCAAGAGATGGCGTTGAACGATGTTGTCTTCCTTCCAGTCTATCAGTTCAGAATTAGTGACGGCAAATAGCCCTTGTATAGTTTGCGCGAAACAAAATCACCTCTTGTTTTATTAAAATAAATTCAACGATTCAAGAAATATATAGAAAGTGATTAAAAGTAATTCAAAAATCAATATTGGTGGATTTAAAGCAGATTAACGTAATCACCTAAGAAAGAGGAAGAAGCTCTAATGAAGCTAAGTCTATTTATTTTCTTTTATCCCTACTTTCGATGTCTTTCTTGCCTGTATTACACTAACCAATTTCTTAAAAGGTCTCTAATTAATTGTTATGCGCCTATATGTTTCAGAAAACGATAGTTTCATAAAATAAATTGAATATATCGGCATCCCGCCTATCAAAATAAACATTTGTGCAAGCGATAAATGCGAACACGCACACTCACTTTAAAGATAAATGGGCTGGGCGTGGTCTAGTGGTTAACGTGCTCGAACTGTGAATCCGAAAATTCGTGGTTCATGTCCCGTTGCCGTTAAATTGCACCTTGCACTTTGAACCCGTGAGTCCGTATAAATGTGACAGTCAAGTCTCACTTTTATGTCAGATAAGAGTTAGCAACGACTTTTATGTCAGATAAGAGTTAGCAACGACTTTTATGTCAGATAAGAGTTAGCAACGACTTTTATGTCAGATAAGAGTTAGCAACGACTTTTATGTCAGATAAGAGTTAGTAACGACTTTTATGTCAGATAAGAGTTAGTAACGACTTTTATGTCAGATAAGAGTTAGCAACGACTTTTATGTCAGATAAGAGTTAGCAACGACTTTTATGTCAGATAAGAGTTAGCAACGACTTTTATGTCAGATAAGAGTTAGTAACGACTTTTATGTCAGATAAGAGTTGATAACGACTTTTATGTCAAATAAGAGTTAATAACGACTTTTATGTCAAATAAGAGTTAATAACGACTTTTATGTCAGATAAGAGTTAGTAACGGGTGCAGACGGTTAACTAGCTGACTTTTCTCTCTCAAGTTTACTTCAAAATTCGGGACGTAGATAGCCATTACAAAAAACTCCTGAAACAAATCTTGAAGTTAAAGTCTTTCACTGTTAATGGGACAAATGTTGAAGAATGAAAGTTTCGCACGGTTTGTTTCCGATCATTATCTGAGGAAGACAGAATAATTCAATGCCTTTAGGGCAATTTTAATTATAAACAAAATGTTTCCCAATAAAGGTATATCAGCCAGCCAATCTAGCCTCCTGGTGGCAGTTCTTAGTTAGGTAATAGTTCCATTGATACACTTAATTAAGCATTCACAATCTTCCGAGTAATATTTAATTATTAAATATTAATTTACAAGTAAGAACTATGTATTAGGGACCATCATAATACTGCCACCCTAACGAAAGAGACGTCTCGAGTGTTTAAAATAACGAGTTGTTGTGTTACAGTGGAAAACATAGAAATATTCAAACAAACATTATAATATTGATATAATCACCAGAAACACATATTCTCAAAACTCTTTTTGCCGCGACAGCTTCTAACAATATCGATTGTAAATTGAGCCATCAAATACGTTGTTAAAACAGATAGTAGACATGCAGAACAGACAGTAGACATGCAGAACAGGTAGTAGATATACAGAACAGAAGGCAGACTTGTAGAACATATGGTAGACATGCAGAACAGAAAGTAGACACGTAGAACAGAAAGTTCACATGCAGAACTGATAGTAGATATACAGAACAGAAAGCAAGCATACAGAACAGACAGTAGACATGCAGAACAGATGGTAGATATACAGAACAGAAAGCAAGCATACAGAACAGACAGTAGACATGCAGAACAGATGGTAGATATACAGAACAGATGGTAGACATACAGAACAGATGGTAGACATACAGAACATAAAGTAGACATGCAGAACAGATGGTAGACATGCAGAACAGATGGTAGATATGCAGAACATAAAGTAGACATGCAGAACAGATGGTAGACATGCAGAACAGATGGTAGATATGCAGAACAGACAGTAGATATGTAGAACAGACAATAGACATGCAGAATAAATGGTAGACATACAGAACAGACAGTAGACGCGCAGAACAGAAAGTAGATATGCAGAACAGAAAGTTGATATGCAGAACAGACAGTAGCTATGCAGAACATATAGTAGACATGCAGAACAGATGGTAGATATGCAGAACAGATGGTAGACACGCAGAACAGATGGTAGACATGCAGAACAGGTGGTAGACATGCAGAACAGATGGTAGACATGCAGAACAGAAAGTAGACATGCAGAACAGATGGTAGACATGCAGAACAGAAAGTAGACACGTAGAATAGATGGTAGACCTACAGAACAGAAAGTAGGCATGCAGAACAAATGGTAGACATGACAGACAGTAGACATGCAGAACAGAAAGTAGACATAAAGAACAGAAAATAGACATGCAGAACAGATGGTAGACATGCAGAACAGATAGTAGACATGCAGAACAGATAGTAGATATGCAGAACAGACAGTAGACATGCAGAATAGATGGTAGACACACAGAACAGACAGTAGACGCACAGAACAGAAAGTAGATATGCAGAACAGTCAGTAGCCATGCAGAACAGATGGTAGACATGCAGAACAGAAAGTAGACATGCAGAACAGACAGTAGACATGCAGAACGTTACTGAATCACATCATTCTAATTTTAACCATTCTGTTCTTGAATTAATATAACACACCGTGAATCATGTTGTTACTGAATCACATCAATCTAATTTTAACCATTCTGTTCTTGAATTAATAAAACACACCGTTAATCATGGTGTTACTGAATCACATCATTCTAATCTTAACCCTTTTTACATTCAACTACAGTAAAATTCTGATAATAATAGCACCTTATTTTGGAAACAATAAAAACAAGTGTTAAGTAATGACACAAATCTAATTCAAAATCTTTTGGCATTAACTGGAGGGCGTGGGCTCTGTTAATGGAGATAATGTTTACTGCGCTGCTGGAGTATATCTCCCACCAAGACGTCAATCATACTGAAGCATTGTCTGAACTACATTCTTGTTTTTGGACGGCCACTCTGTGAGACTGTTATTATTGTTATTGTTTGAGAACATCGCACTAAACTGTATACCTGATACTCTTTTGTTGTCGCTATTTACGACCTATAGAACATGATTCCCTGCTTTGATAAGTAGATATTACTGCTAGTGCAGCGTTTTCTGGAGACTCTGCTTGTTTTTTATGGTAGCGCGGTTGACAATTCAGAATAAACTAAAAGAAAATTTGTTCCGGAAAAAAATGTGTAAAACTATCAACATTGTTTCAAGGGGCAAAGTCTTGGGCATCATCGTTCATTTTGTTTTGTAAATCAAACAGAGCATTTGATGTCATCGTATAACCTGGAAAATGGTTTAATGTTTATAGGATTGTTTAATACTTCCCGTCGCTGTTATCGGCCGTAATCCTAATAATATATCATGACGTTCGGCCAGCTTAGGATATTTAGTTTGGTCCTAAATCAATATTGTTAAGTAGAAAATGCAAAATAATTCTCCTAGTAAAAGGCTGAAAACTAATAAAAATATAGGTATTGAATATTTAACAAAAACTGTTAATGAATCTAATTCTAAAGTAAATATTTAAAAAAATGGTATTACTACAGACATAGTTATGACGTAGGTCGAATTACTACAGACATAGTTATGACGTAGGTAGAATTTCTACAAAGCTTTATGTTCCAATAATCTAAATATATTTCTAAGATGGAGTATAAAATGGTACAATAAGAAACTGTCGGCCTACTCTAGTGATTTGTTTTATAAAAGTCCTTTAACAACACAAAAACAATATTCAATTCGATACTAAGGATGTTAAAGAAAACACATATAAGATATCTGCGCTAGAAAAACTTATCGCTTAATACACTCGAGCATTTTCATTGGCCAATAATATTAAAAAAGGAAAGGATAATATATCCCAAATATATTGAGAGAAAATGGATGATACGCCAATAAATATATATTAATTAGTAGACTGACTTTTCACAGTGAGAAAACAGACAAACAATGAAATATCATTTACCAATAAAAGCTCGGCCATGTCCTTCTGGTTCTTGTCCCTCACGTTTTGTCCGTTAACTTCCAGAATCTGATCTCCCTGCATAATTCTTTGACCATGTTGGGCAGCAATACTTCCTGGTTGCTAGGATACAAGCGTTAACAAGGTTATATTGAGAAGTATTAACAAGAATGTAACTTACGTATTTGTTTCTTTGTCAGTATGAGTCCGAACTAGTCGCTTCAGTTGTCTTCGGTAGACGATTAGAAACGTTGATTTTTGAGTACAATTCAATTATTCTGGAGTAATATTCGAGATCTGTATCTCAATATACACTTGGCTTGACTTTTTCGATTTTGAATAACAGCAACAACACACACACAAGCAAAATAATCACATGAATTTCTTTATGATGAATGCAGTGAGTGATAGTGTTGCGTCAGCGAGTCACATGACTAGTGTGACGCCACGTTTCTAGAACTATCCTGTACTTTGGCGAATGCTCTAGCATTTACTAGATATAGGGTAGCCTGGTATATAAAAGAGGGTGACAACGTGACGGACAATAATGTGTGTGTAGATAGTGAGTAATTGAACTGCAGTCAGAAGTATTGTTGACATTCGTTGATTAGCGCTTCTTATAGAGCGACTGTTGAAAATAAGTGTATCGTAAAGTTGTATTCGGAAAGAATAAACCAGTTTTATTAAGTAAGGACTTGTGTCGCTAAAGTTTCGTCGGAACGAAGTTACGGAAAATCAATTAACAAATGGAGACGTAACAATACGTTTCTTGAATATATCACTTATTAATATGTAAACATGACGTTTCAGACATGCTACAAGTATTATAACCAGAGTTGAACTTAAAAAAAAATGAGGGCTAATATAAAACGGGGTTTACTCCCCGCGGCCGACACACAGCAGATAACTCATTGTGTAGCTATAAATTAGAACAAACAAATAAGACAAAAGCAAAAACCTTTAAACGAACGGAAAATTTTTATAATTAGTTTAGACGTAAAAATAAATATATAAATTTACCTGTCATCAGTTGTTGCCCTTTTCACCTTTTCATGATAAGATAATCATTACATGAACTACTGATTAACAAGATAACTAACAAGAGCTTTTTCTACAAATTCCAAGTGTCGTTAATCACTTGTACACTTAACTTGATGCGCAGCTAAACATATTTAACTTGATGCGCACAATATAAAAAACAGCAGTGTAAGTATCAATCCATCCAATCACCTTCTATCTTGTCTTCAAGTCAGTAAAAGCCGTCCTTTTTAGATGGTATGTTTTAATTTCCTTTTGCTACTAGTAGTGGTGGCGGACTCACGGGAGTCAAGTGATGACGTCACGAAGGTTAAGACCTTTTCAAGGTCAGAGGTGAAATGAAACTAGTCTGCCACCGTTGCTATTGTAGCGATTATTATATATATATATATATATCCCAAGGTAGTACAAAACTTTTATTTTTGAAGGTGAAAAATTAACCTGTCTTTATGGGGTATTTAAGGTTAATTAGGAACAGTGTATTTACATAAAGATACGTTTACATAACATCGTTTGTAATATTACTTTATGTCGTGTGACATACACACAGTTCGCTAATCCCCACCCTCCTGGCTGTGGTCTCCCACAGAGCAAAGCTGTCACATCAAGTAAACTAATTTACAGGGGGATGGAAGGCTGTTTCCAAATATAAACCCACTTTACTCTTGTCAAGAATAAATGGCCTTCAAGAATGTATTTGACATATTCGTTTGTGTAACACTCGAAGTATGTGCTGTTCTATAACTCTGAATGGTACTAATTTAAACTTCAAAGTACAAGGTCGACCCTTAAATTTCTGCTCCAATTTTAAAGAAGGCAAATGCTATCCATAATGTTCAAACAAACACCAGTTCCAATATTCTGTAAGTAAGCATGGCAAATGTTATCCATAATGTTCAAACAAACACCAGTTCCAATATTCTGTAAGTAAAGCGATGGCAAATGTTGTCCATAATGTTCAAACAAACACCAGTTCCAATATTCTGTAAGTAAGCATGGCAAATGTTATCCATAATGTTCAAACAAACACCAGTTTGCAGTCTTGTATTATAACTAGTCGGTTACTGAAATGTTTCTATTAAGCAAAAATTGAGAAAAATCATTGATTTTAACAAGCTATTTTTCTACAATGAGTAGTGGAATAGTTTGATGTGTCCAGATGGCTCAGTGGTATGCATTAAACATTATAACATTAAAATTCGAGGGTTGATCCCTTCGTTATGCATGACGCAGACAGCCCATTGTATAGCTATGCGCTAAAGTTAAATAAACACAAATTATAAACTTAACACGTCAGGAAATACATATTCTTGACTAATCTCTTTGATCTCATGACGAAATCGGGTATATATAAAACATTAATATGTTGTGACAGCAGCGAAACAAATATTTAAAGTGAATTCTTAGCTTAAGGCAAACAACATGGAGTCTTTGGGAACCAAGCGCATTCATACTCAATGTTCGTTTAAAATAAATGTGTATACTTCTTCCCGTATAATCTCGAAGACGACAAATACTAAAGCGATTATGTGTGCTTACAGAAAATACGAATTTCTTGACTGTTTCCAATCTGATTAAATCGAGGAAACTTTCATGATGCCAACAATATATATATATATATATCTTGCACACGAGGCGTATGATATAACATTATGTGTTATTGTTATAATATCTTTAACTACCATTACATCTTAATCAAGTCACGAACTAGATAATACAATACGTTGTAAATAATTAATAATTTTAACTACAGTCCACATACACACACATACGCAAAGTAACAAAAAAAGAATGTTTATTCGAAGTGTATCCCCGCTAATAAGAAAAAAACCCTGTAGCTCAGCGGCAAGTCTTTAAGTTTACTATGCTAAAAATCGGGTTTCGATACCTACCCGTGGTGAGCATAGCCCAGATAGCCCATTGTGTAGCTTTGTGCTTAACAACAGCCAACCAAACAACAGAAGAGAAGTATGAATAATTAAATAAAGATAAATACATAAAGGTTACATCATGTGACATGTTTGATACCACTAACTGACAATATTATTATAATAATTTTTATTTAACTATAAAAATAACTAAGTAAATTATAAATTTAATAGATAATTTTTGAAACATATCTTAAGTTTTTCTAAAGAGTTGTTATATTATTGGGTATTGCATTCCATATTGTTACCCTTACGTAACTTATTTGAACATAAAGACTGTTTGGTGTTAAAAACATTTCACTACTTACCACGTAAGTGATGAAAACTCCTCTTCCGTTGCTGAAAGAAAAATTGAATTGGCTAACAGATCAAGTTAATAGAAAAAAAAAGCTTCTGAAGAAAATAAGAACGGATAATGTTTAAAGACGAAAGATTGGTCTTATTACAATATATGATTAATATTTCTATTAATAAATAACTAATGGGAAAACAAATATCGTGACGGTTCAATAATTAAACAAATAACAGCAAACGTCTACTGTTATGTGGCTGAAGAATGTGAGTCACCTGTCTGAATGGAAGATTTCCAATTTCTTAATCAGAAATTAAAATCAAGGATACATTCAATATGATTGAGATCAAACTGGAACTAAATTCCAAAGTCTATGTAAAACTCTTCATCTGAGTGAGTATAGGCCTAACCTTTTTTTGTCGATGTTCTTTGCTTGCTTTTTCACTCTCAAGATTCTCATAAAGAGGACATCATATAAAAATGTCGAAACTTTGAAAAAATTTCGACTAATGTTAAAGCATTTTACGCTCGGTATCAAAAATTTATTTTACGTTTTTCATTCCAGCTACCAGGCTGCGCTTTAAAAATAATAAAGCTAGTTTGGTTGAAAACGTTAGATAGTAAATAGTGGTTAATTCATATTTGCACAAATGAATCACTAGCATATAGCTAAATTCTTTCGAAGAAACACTTGCTGTCTGAATACACCACATTAATAAAAGCTGTAAAAAGGCTTAGTATAAAACACATAAAATCAATATTGATACGATTCAGCGTCATTATTCTAAATCTACCGCATCATTACGACAAAATAGATATTAAGAATAGTATAAAAAATTTATCTACATACGTTATAGCTAATATAAACAATAGTATAAAATGTCTATCTACATACATTATAGCTAATATTCAACAATATAAACAATAGTATAAAATATCTATCTACATAAATTACAGCTAATATCAACAATATAAACAATAGTATAAAATGTCTATCTACATACATTATAGCTAATATTCAACCATATAAACAATAGTATAAAATATCTATCTACATACATTATAGCTAATATTCAACCATATAAACAATAGTATAAAAAATCTATCTACATAAATTATAGTTAACATCAACAATAGTATAAAAAATCTATGTACATAAATTATAGTTAATATAAACAATAGTGTAAAAATCTATCTACATAAATTACAGCTACTATCAACAAAATAAACAATAGTATAAAAAGTCTATTTACATACATTATAGCTAATATTCAACAATATAAACAATAGTATAAAAATCTATCTACATATGTTATAACTAATATCAACAATATGAACAATAGTATAAAATCTATCTACATACATTATAGCTAATATAAGCAATAGTATAAAAATCTATCTAAATACATTATAGTTAATATAAACAATAGTATAAAAATCTATCTACATACATTATAGCTAATACAAACAATAGTATAAAAATCTATCTACATACATCATAGCTAATATTCAACAATATAAACAACCAATTTTTATTGCAGTTATAATTGATATATGTGTTTATATTTTTGCAACTTATTACATAACTTTTCTTCCCTAAAATCATAAATCAAAAATTTGAACTATTACATTCATGGGCAGACAAACTTTACCTAATGATCCCTAAACATACTAGCTTAGTTAGGTCAGCAAACATTTCCTTCTAAGCCTGCATATTAACACAGGATTTCTGATGGGTATAGTTAAAAATTACTATAGACAATATACTTTAGTAATTTAATATTTTATATGTCTATAATTCTAGAAATTACTGTGAACTTGAAGCTCTATAAATACAGGATTTCTGAGGTGTACGAAATGTTCGCTTTCTACGGACTTTTTGTGTGTATCTTGTAGGAAATACTTTGAAAACGAGGTTCAATAAACACAGAACTTATCGGGTATACAGTTATAAGAATTAATGGGAGCAACAGGTTCTATTAATACAAGATTTTTTTTATCTGTACAGTTCTAGGTGTTACTATGAACAAGACTGTCAACACAGGATTTTTGAGGTATATGGTTAGAGGGATTATTCTAAGCAAACAACTTAACTCACGGCATGTTACATGTTACGCGTATAATTCTAGGAACTACTGTAAACAAAGAAGTGACACTATTTATTTACTTCGGGTACATTTTGTTTACAGTTTTAGGACCTACTGTGAAGGAGCGAGCTTATTATCACAGAACTTATGAAGTAGATAGTTCCAGAAGAAAGTGTGAACAAGAAATGAGAAAGAACACCTGACTTTACAATTATTGAAGTATTGATATGTACACTGAGCACTTAGGTCGGCACAATGCTGAAGCAATGAGTGCAGTACAGTGCTGAGAACCAAAATTATCATCAATGTTTGAACGTTGTCTTTCAGTATTGTTTATAATATACTGTTACGTATCTGCGTGTTTGTTAATTTCCGGTAGAAATTCTTTCCGAGGAACTTCAGTGATACAAGTCCTTCTTTGATTAAACCAGTTTATTCTTTCTCGATACAAACTTTTAGTATACAGAAAGTCCACAGTCAGTACGTTTTTCGTCACTTTAAACTTAACAACTTTTATAATACACGCTATAAATCACAGCAATTCAAAATCTCGATAACTTCGCTCTCTACGAGTGCAAAACACACACTAGCTCGAAACAGAATCGCAAATTACCCGAAACTCACCGTAACTACTGTTCGCTTAGCTTCTGGCTTTTCTCTGCCTGGCTTATATACTAACAAAGAGGCGTCTCCAACATTCACGGAGTTCCACGATTAATCGAGAAATTCACCGCGTGACGTGACTTCTGCTGTCGTAACAATATTATAATACCAGAATCTGAGATTTACTGAAAACCACATCTTGCTACAAACCCGATGTCTTTGGAAAAACTATTATTTTATTACTCAATTTTTAAGGTTAATGACATGAAGAATTTTCTGTTTTTGTCACCAATTTCTCAGTTTTCTGGTGAAAAAAAAAGCTTAATATTTGCAAGGCATCTGGGACTGTGAAAAAAACAACAGCATTGAAACATCATTCATAAGGTTGAGTTACTTAAACATCACATGAAATATTATCAAGCGTATGTGTGTCATAAGTTCATAACACTGATGATAAAAACTTCCATAATACACTTACGTCCTTTGGATGAAACTCATGCCTAGTTTGTCCTTTACACTCGTCTTTCGTAGTTCAACCATGATGAACTTGCGAGGAATATCGGAAGCGGTCAGCACTGAAATAAAATACACGTTCAATGAATTTTAAACTAACTCGATACTTAAATAAATTAACCATTTGTGTCATGCTAGAAAGCTCGCTTCATCCTTCATGCATTTTATCGTGGATGGTCTTAACTTCCCACACAAATATTTAGCTTCAACTATGTCGAGTGTTACAACATCTTTGTTTTATAGTGTGAAGAAGAATAGTTAAGTTTCAAACGGAAAAAAAATATATATATAAAAACGAACGCGATGATTTTTATTGGGTAAGAAATATTGTAGAACTTTTGTCTAACGAAAAAATCATTTAGTTTTCGATTTATATTTTTATACAATTCTGAATTTTGTTTGTTTGTTTTAGAGAATCGAACCTCGGATTTCAACATTGTAAATCTGTAAAATTACCGCTGCTCCATCGGGAGACACTGAACTATGATTGTACGATTAAGGAAATTGAGTCACTGAATAAAGACCGCGTGTTAATTAAACAACTGTCTGTAATATATTTCTTAAATTCTAGTTAAATTCTTAAATTCAGTTTCGGATGATAAAGGTGAACTTACATCTGGTATGCATTTTATAACTTTTTACGGAAACAAAATAGATAATCGCATATTCATGGCAACTTAAAGAAATCTGTATATTACAAAATTTCGAACTTGACAAAAATCAGATGCCAGCAATCCTATGTAAGTAGGCATCAAAATAACCAGGGTACATGCTGTTAATTCCTAAACCTTTTTGTAAAACGACTAGTTTTTCGTATTGTCTTTTTCAACTTTTTTCAAATAGTAAATTGGCTGCTTTTCTTTTCATATATAAGAAGAGTAAACGGTTCCATTTACAATTTTGTGTTTCATGGTTGCTGAAATCGGTGAAACGGTAGCGACGTTATGCTTACGTTGCGCAAAATAAAAGACGAGTCTATTTGGCACGATTCCGAAAAGAAGCAACATTAGAGCCAAGGATATCTTTCACACTTCCTATCAAAACATATAAAACATCAGATTAGGTTTTCACTTAAAGCTTCATTACTAAAGACACGAGGAACTTAAGATGACTGCTATGAATCTCTGCTTGATATTTTTGTTATTACAGTTATCAACATGTAGTGTATGATGAACAATTAATACCATATTTTTGAAGTAATATGCAGTTGATATTACCCTGCATAATAGCAACTCGTTTACAATGATTGAAATTTTCGTGTACGGATTCGTTGTTTGACAATATACAATCAGGTTGTATTATCTCTATCTGCGGCCTGGCATAGAATTCCCAAGATGTTGGAAAGTGTCTTGTTCAATTACAGGTCATTCGTCGGTAAGCACGTTCTGCAATTGATTTACGAATTACAGTAAAAACATTACGATGGCGAATGAGAGTTTTCAGTTCACCACGTAGATGTTCAATCAGACTGAAAAACTGTAATAGAAAACGAGTAAAGTCACTGTAATGCTCATCGAAGCGATTTTGAACAATAAAGCATGGAAGGAAAGTGGTTCTATTGAATTGGGAAGGGCCATTGTTCATCAAACGCAGTATTGACTTGGAAATGATCATGTTATAACGTTCATGTACACTCTGAACGTTATTTACCGTTCTAGAGAAGTAAAAGAACCAAACTCCCGCTACACGTGCTTTCCCCGTTCCATTACACCACCTCCAGCATCTGTCGTACAAGCAGGAGCAAGTGAAACATTAATTCATTGTTTAATCTGTAAACATCACTGATGTCATGTTTTGTTTACAGAATTTATTGTTTATTGTTTCAACTGTAAACATCGCTAATGTCATGTTTTGTTTACGGAATTTATTGTTTATTGTTTCAACTGTAAACATCGCTGATGTCATGTTTTGTTTACACTTTACGGTGGTACATATGCATGTTTTCTGCTGGACGTCGTGAGCCACCCGTGGTACACAGAGACCATAATATACAACTCTACCTCATATCACCACATTACTATATGAAACATCTATTTTATACGGACGGCTGTACTAAAGCCACGCCTTCCATCATGTACCACTGATGGAGCACGAATGCCATGTTGAAAGGACAACTGAAATAAAACTAAGTTACATGATTAAATCACTTTTTATTTTAACATTACATCTAGAGATTGGCATTAAATTTTTCGTTATGAGTAATTGAAGCAACAAAACACTAATTGAGACTTCTTTCATAAATAAGAAAACTGTTAAGAAGACTGGAATATAACAAGGATAGAACTATTATCATCCACAGTAGGGATTATTTTATCTGATGTCCCTTTTTTTACGACCACAGAATTGTGAAAAACGGCATGATTAGGCTGTAAAAAACAACAACAAGTGAAATAAATTTAATAATAGAAGAAGAAAAAAAGAGCAGACGAAAACTCTCTGACTGTTGTTGTTTTCTTACGACTATCCCACAAAGGTACAACATTGCAAGAAAGCAAAACTTGCTAATAGAAGCAAATCAAATAGTAGAATGAAACAATGTGTGATAGCTAAAAAATTAAATAAACATAATAATAGAAGAAAAGAAAATAGCAGAAGAACTGACTATTCATACCGATTCAAAGTATTGGATGAGATATAAAGTATTTTATATATCAATTGGTAGTTTAGTAAACAGTCTCAGCCCCAGAGCACCTGAAACTATGTAAGACCCCTAAACATGTATTACTAATACTTTAGAATTTAAATGCATGAATTAAAAGAAACGACGTGGCCATTAGTTTTAAGGCATTTTATTTAACGTGTAATCCGTTAGCTGTACAATCAAAGTTCAATATTTTAGGTAACATAATCGAAAACGAAAACATTTTTTTTCCCTTTAGACACAGAGAACGCTTTACAATAGAAAATAAAGGTATTGATTTTCTAGAATGTTCATAGGTTGACAATTTTTGTTGATACAAAACTTCAAAAAGTCACCTTTCGTAAAAACTCACAGACTTACATAACTTTGAACTTTAATTCAAAAAATACTTGTTAAAATTCTTATTCAAAATATATTATTGTATTCTACGTATATTTTCATTTTATCTAAGCCTTGTCAGCCTATCTATACTATTATTCTGCTTGTTTGTATGTACGACCATTACGCTTTCTGACCGAGAACCTGCTGCTTAAGCATGCGTAGTTAGAATGTTTCCCCAAGAAAAACCGCACATGCGCATTATTCACTCGACGACAAACAGTCTGCCTGCGGCAGAGAGCTGCAAAGTTCAGTGCTCAAATCGCTGCAATTGCTGTATGAAACAAGAAGTAACAACAAAAGGGGAATTTAAATATACTTTACTAACCATTTTGTACAACAGAATATTAAAACTTATCAGGGTTTTAAAAAAAGGTTTGACGTTAGGTCGTACAATAACATTATAAGTTTATTTATTGATAGTATTAAGTACAGTAAAGTTTAGTCC